TCCTCTAAATCTTGACCCCTGCTTTCGTTGTACAGCTTGTGCCAGCACAGACCATTCTTTGTTCATTAGCTAGGTAAGACAGCTGCCCCAGTATCCAACTGGGCACTGAATTCACGACATATCCAATATAGCCCACTTCTAAGATCCATTAGAAAGTTCCCAAAAGGGAAAGATAATTTGAATGAAGGTGCCCAATGGAGTTTTTGTTATAAATAATTTGAATTATTTTCCGGGCATTTCAGATTAAATCCTCCCCCAGCAACATACATTATGGCAATCCAGTAGCACTGCATAGGGCCACAGTAAGAACTGATGGCTAAGACAGACAGAGTGGGTATTGCTATTCCTTATCCTGGGCGACCACCCATGGCTGTTCCACCATCTTTGACTCCCTGTTTGTGAATGTTAGTTGTGCATGCACATTCACACATGCATGCACGCACACCCTTCGGCTGATGTTCCTCTTCAGATAGCTTTGTTGGGGTAGTTTCATCTGCCATCCATACAACCCACTTCACTTTGATGTGAGATCTACTTCAATAATGTGAAACCAACTAGGCTGACACTCTTTGCCCACATTATGCTGGACGGTGTGAAATGAACTTGGCTGTACCATGATTCTGGCTGATTCAAGGCACTGGCACAGTGAAGTGTTTGCATCTTGAGAGCTTCGTGGGCCTGTAACAAATCTGTTTGCTAGTTTGCCATCATGATGCTCTTAAGGTCAGGCAATTTGCAGGCCGAGCAGATAGGGCCGGACTCATCAACCTTAAGCAGAAGTGATGGATAATAGGAACTGGAGCCCACCTTCACTTGGTGGGCCATGGATGGATGACCCATCCTTGCACTATGATGGGCATTTCACAATTTCCTGGCTGCTGAAGAACTGGGGTGGGGACTGTGCCATTTTTGTTACTCAGTTTTAAATCATTTTTAATGTGTTGTTTTAATACTATTTGTATGTGTGTGTTTTTACCTGCATCTGAGCCTGTTGTGAGTCAACTCCAGTCCCAGTTTTAAAAGAAAAGTGGGATGTAAATCATATAAATGTTGCTCTGTGCCATCAATTCAGAACTGACTTGTAGCAACCCTAATAGGGCTTTCAAGGTAAGTGAGATAGTTAAGGAAGGGATTTACCGCTTCTGCAAACCTAGTTAGCTTCCATGGCTAAGCAGAGGATTCAAACCCAGGCCTCCTGAGTCCTAATCCACCACGCTATCCACTTACACCACACTGGGTATCCTAAATCAAATGATAAAAATCGACTTCCTCTCCCACTCAGCTAATTAACTATCATTTAGGGATTGAAAATGAAGTCCCTCTGAGAATTTAAAAAAAGGATGGTACAGAAACAGTTCAACAGGTGTAGCTCTTCCTCTACCCCAACAAGGATGGGTCATCCATCCATGCAAAGGACTTGCAGGAGCCATCTGAATAGCCAAAAGAGGACATTTAACTACTACCAACATTAAAAAAAAACAAACGCTCAGTGAGTTTCAGTTGTAACTCACCCTGCAAGGCGTATCCAGAGCTGTAAGAAGGTCGAGGCAAGTGAGACCTCAGGTATACAAAGCTGAGGAGTGCATCGAGAATGATGCTTCTACTGCCTCAGGCCCTCCATATCATTAAGAAGATAATGATGAAAGATGATGGGGTCCATTCCATAATCCCTGTTCAGTCACTTCCCTCTGGGTTAAGCTCCCTAGAGAGTAGCTGATTTTCTAAGATGCAGAAAGCTCCAAATCTGTAGCGCAGCTGTCCCTACACAGGTGTAGGATGCACATGGAAGCATGCGTCCTGGGTTCCTTCTGCTCCTTTTTCATTGCTCACCTTTGAGACGAGGTGGTTGTTTGGGGGTCACCATGAGAAGCTTGAAACAGACACGGTCTAAGATCGTTCAAGTCGTGTTTGGCAGGGGGCGTTAGTATCCCTGGCTGTTTGACAGGCAGCAGACTTTCAAAATAAAAAAAGGGGATTAATTTAGTTTGAAAAATATGTTTTGTTTAATGAATCACCCAATTAGAAAAGGGGGACTAGAAACAGCTGTTGAGAGGATATCCTTTCGAAGAAATGGAAAAGGAAGCCATGCACTAGTTATTTGAAAAGTGATGGCAAAACATACAAGCTTTCAATACACTGCAAGTTTTTTTAAGTACCCTAAATGCTCACTTATTTAAGCCTTAGTTGATTGTGCATGCAGATCTCATGGCTAAAACAAATGTGTCATTATTGTTTCATCTTAAAGTGTTTTCCTTTTTCAGCCAAATAACTTCTATGATAGTAAGAGAGAGTATAATTTTATACTCTTGCCTCGGGCACAAAATTAGGTATGGTTCTAAGTGTATCCAGTAGTTTCCATGGAGTCAGAACCAAACTGTGTTAACAAAAGGGGTAATTGGTTCCATTATCATACTGCTCCAACAGTACAGAATTTTTTTCCTTGATATTCAGTCAAAATCCGGCTCCCAGTTAACCTGATCCCATTATTACATGTTTTGCACTCCGGGATGGATCAAGAACTGTTTGCTTATTTCAGAAACTCTTGCAGGGATTTTAGTCCATTTTGGGCCATTTATAGAGGTTTCTCGATTTAAAAAAAAATATTTAGAAAGTTGAATGGGTTGCACGCTTGGTTCTTCATTTACAGGGTAAGTCTTTAAAAATTAAAAAAAAAACTAAGAAACAAAGACCCCTCCAACTGTTTGAGAGCAATTTGTTGCTTTCGGTAGTGATGCCAAGCTCCGGACTGTTAGAGGAGCAGCGCTGGAAGGGTAGATCATTTTCCATTCACTGTGTTTTGCTCAGAAATCCCAGATACAAATGCAGATATCCCATGAAGGTACAGATTCAGACAATTTTTAGAAGGGCAAGCTCAGGCACACTTGTAATGCCAGGGTACAGTGTTTCCCAGCATGATAATAAGCACTGGCTGCAGAAAAGGATTCTTGTTCAAAGGCAGGGTACATAACCTTAAGGCACATGATGCAGCAACCTTGTTAGGAGCTAAGCCAGCTGGCCAGCGCCTGGATATATCTTATGAACTTAAGAAAGGCAAAATGTAAATTGACTCGAAGGAAAAAAGGAAATCAGGCCAAGATCCAAGACGAGAGAGTTGGACTCTTCAGTCTGCTTCTCCCTTTGGTGTAAACTCACTGGGTAGAAGAACAACGAAGATCCCACAACACAAGTGGAATTGAGCCGCAACCCACCAGTTGTGCTTCTCTTCAGTATGTCTACAATGGAGTCTCCCAATGAACCCTAGACGAACACACTGACAGTCAATGACATTTGTAATTCTTAAGGCGTTCCCTTCTCAGAGCAGGGAAAGCAGCATGGATCCCACCATCGATAAATGGAGCCCCATCAAGGCTCACGGAAGTGGAAATACTGGCCTGCAGGCAAGTTACCTCATGAGAGGAGCTGCAGGTGGAGAAAAATAATAATTGGCTGGATGTGGCCCACAGACCTTCCTGCTTTATCACACTTCCACATTATAGTTATTTGTTGCCAAAAATGCCTTTGGGAGACAATCATGTTGGCAGTATCTCAATGAAGCTCAATCTTCACGCTGTTTTATACAAAAAAAATTTAATAAATATTTTTCAAGATTTATTGCCAGGAATAACACATCCGAGATGTATTTTCATGTTCATGTAACACTAATATTACCGTACAAGGTATCCTCATGATCTCAGTGACTGACCCACTGAGTACAATTTTTGAAGCCTTTTTTTTGTAAAAAAAATTTGTTTTGATCTTCCAACTTTTGTAATAGCACTTTGATTTCCTCACTTTTTTTTAAGGCGGGCAGTGGAATCTATGGCAAATCTACATAGCGATCTTACTGGACATTCTACTGTTCAAGTATTCAGCAACTAGCTTATTAGAATACTTTCTACATACAGTAGATCACAAAGAAAAATCAAATCTACAAGAGGTTCAGTATTACCTATTCGTGGTGGGGTGGAAAAAAAATAAATCAAGAGTTTACAAAACAAGATTTCGGTGCTTCCAACTTCACACGCTAATTCGGTATTTTTAATTACATGCAACCACTCACATCTCTCACATTTTCAACTACAGAAGGTTATAGCTCCTTGGCATTCCTTTAACCTGCTCTGAAGCAGATCCCCTGCCTGCCATCCTTTCCTTCCCCACAACCTCATGTCTAAAGCAGCCAGGAAAAAAAAAATCTAATCTAGTTCTAAACTGCCTCGGCTGGTACTTAAATAGTCTTAAAGTGATACTATGGAAGGTGTTTTCAAAGGAAAAAAAGACACCATACTTGACATTGTACAAAACAAAACAAAAAACCAGCATCAAAGGCCTGAAAGCCATTCCTACTGTTTAAAAAACAAAAAAAAACAAAGCTGATTCTTTTTTCAGAACACCTTAAATTTTGGCATGTAGGCAACATGTAACAATGAAAAAAAAACCACACACACACACACACAAGGAAAAAGAGAGTAAAGAAGCCATAAGCTTACAAAGCTATGAAAAAAAAAACCTTCAACTCTAAACACATACATATAAATAAAAAAAAGAGGAATGATATTTAAGGCTCTTGATTATTAAGTTAATAAATCAAATATACATAGTGATTAATAAAAAAGAATTATTTACATAACTATACAAACTTCTACTTTTGACACATTTTGCTCTCAGTTCTTCATTTTTTACCAGCAACTGCTGACAAGAAACCCACTGTCCCCACCCCACTCCCTCCCCAAACAAACAAACAAAAAATTACAATAAAAAAAATAAATAATAAACTTTTTTTTTGATAGTTGCTGTGGTTCTGAGCTGCAAAGGCACTTTCAAATACAGAACTAGTTGTACGTCGCCATAAAACCAATATACAAAAGAACTCTAATTCAATAAATAAATAAAATGTATTTTCCTAAGACTACAAATCATGACATTGAGAGAGAGAGAGACAGGAGGAGGAGGAGGAGGGGAAAGGAAGGGGGGGGGGAGGAGGGCCTGCTACAGCACGGGGGGGGAGGGGAGAGGCGGCAGGGAAGCTAAATAAAAGGCTACACGACCCCTCATGAAACTTTCCCAGGATGCATCAGCTGCTGCTGAATTGACACAGGGTCACTTTTGACTAGTTTTGCATAGATGTGAAATGCAGCACTTGGTAATCCAGCCAAACCACAGCAACTATCACTGCCAGTGTAAGCCAGCTTGTCAAAACTTAAATTAACACAGGGATTCTAAGCAAATAATAGCCTTAGACTCAAAATATTACACAACCATTTTTTAAGAACTACAAGCTCTGAGTTGCCTTGAACTGATCGGGGAAAGGCCCTGCCCAGCAGCAGCTGCCGTCTGCTATACAATGTACTCCATTCGGTTTAAGCTTTGTGCGCTTTCCAAGTCCCGGTTGTCTTGTTTGTTTGTCCAGTTTGGGTTTTTTGTGGGAGTGCCGTTGGGTGGCTTTTCGTCTCTGTCTACTAGCGTGTAGGTTGCCTGTTTGGCAAACCGGGTCTTTTGCTGGTGCTTGTCCATGTCGTCTTCCTCCACTTCAGAGTTGTGTGTCCTTATTTTGGCAATTTTTGAGTTCTTGTTTTCATAGTCTTTGATCGGGACGGCATTGGCGCCATGTTTCTCTATAGGGTTCTTGATCTGATTCAGCTGCTCCCGGACGTTGTTGGTGGTGTTGTCATCTGACGCCGTGTGGGTGTGGCTGCTCTGCTTTCGGCGTTTCCGGATGCACCAATAGAAGGCAGTCACGAGGCAACAGATCCAAGCCACAGTCAAAACGGAGCTGAGCAATGGAACCAGGAAGTCTGGAAGGCAAATGGGAATCTCATGAATATCTTAAAAGTCATCCAATGCAAGGAAAGGGCTGTGGTTCGATGGTAGACCCTGCGTTTTGCACAGAGAAGGTGCCAGGTTCCATCCCCGCCATGTCCCAGTAGGGCAAGAATTTTGGCTGAAAACCTGAAAAGTTGCCATTGCTAGTCAATGCCCATCTAGGGTTAGGTGAATCAAGGATCTGACTCAAGATAGGGAAACGTCCGATGTTTCTCTGTGTGCTTCCTTTTGAGAAAGAGACCTATTCAGAACAATCCACTTAAACCTTTTCAAGTAAGCAATTTAACAGAATGCCGTTAGGGGGTATTTACAGTGGTGCCTCACTAGACGATGATAATCTGTTCCACTGAAATCGATGTTTAGCGAAATCTTTGTCTAGCGAAAAGCATTTCCCCATTGGAATGCATTAAAACCTGTTTAATGCATTCCAATAGGGAAGAATTGTCGTTGTCTAGCGAAGATCGGCCATAAGAAAGCCGCTTTGCGAACCGCCGATCAGCTGTTTAAATCGCTGTCTTGCGAAGCTTAGGTCCCGAAAACCCCTGTTTTGCGAGCGTGGAGGGAGCTGTCAAAATCGTCGTCTAGCGGAAATTGGTTTGCGAAGCAGGGACCAAACATTGTCCAGTGAAATTCCCCCATAGGAATCACTGTTTTGTGAATCACTATAGCAATTGCAAAAAGTCAATGTCTAGCTAAAAAACTGTCATGCGGGGTAACTGTCTAGCGAGGCACCACTGTATTTATCGCACTTTTAGACTGCACAACCAATCATTCAGAAGTGTCTACATAGCTGAAACGGACGTTACCATTATTCCTACTGTCATTCCAGTTTTTGTCTTAAAATGGAAAGCAGCTAGGCCCAGTAATCAAAGAAAGCTTCCTTTCTCCCACTACTACACGCTCAGGGTCAACAATCTGAACTCAAGGACTTGAAGGATCTTTCCTGGCTTAAGGGCAGTTGGTTCCACATCCCCAGTTTCTAATGTTGAGCTTTTTACTCGAGGGTTATTGACATAGCTTAAATGGCACTCAGAGAAAGATACAGGTCTTCTCAGAATATCCACTGACTAAGAAAACCAAAAACATCCAACGCCTTAATACCTTAGCCCTCATTCAACTAATATATAACTTGGAGAAGTTGAAGAATGAACCAAAATTTTAGCTTTTGGCCTCACAGATGGAACAAACTGGATCACTGCTCCACACAGTACCGTCTCTACTTTAAGCTTCCTGCAAGAACCCTTTTTTATTACGCCAAAAACCAATAAAACCTTCAGCCTTCACAGCAAGCTGAGCAGGTTGGAAGCATAATAGAGTCATCTCAAGCCATTAATTAAAGCTGAAACAGACACCTTCCTACCGGCACCTTCCTACATTTGGCAGTACTTACATCAAGCAATGAATCAAGTCACATTTTAAGGGCAAACTTAAGAGATGCATAGATCTCTCTTTTTAAACTGGAAGAAGAATACAGTCATTTAATACCCCTTTTGTAAAGATTTACCTGTTTTGCTTTTAACCGGTCGCCTTTGCACTCGGACCTCGGCAACTGCCGAAATAAGTGTACTATTCCCATCACGCTTGCTGACCAGATCAATAATTTTATCAGTTATTTCTTTTATTGGGTTTTCCTCCTCCTGGATATCTTCAGCAGACTAGGAGAAGAGGATGGCCAAGGTATTAGACAACTGCTTTGACAACATCTCATCAGCCATTGCTTGCAACAGGAGTAAAAATTGCCACAAGAATGGTAAACATCTTCCGCAAAAGCACATAACAAAATGTAGCATTTGACTTAAAACTACAAACATGGGAGGCACTAGTTATAATATAACAAGATAATATCCAGTACCAACAGAAAGCTTGCTATTACTTAGTTTGACATTACAGCAGCGGTTCTCAACCCTGGGTCCCCAGATGTTCTTGGACTGCCACTCCCAGAAACCTTCACCACTAGCTGTGCTGGTCAGGATTTCTGGGAGTTCTAGTCCTAGAACATCTGGGGACCCAAGGTTGGGAAGCATGGTATTACAGGATTTAAGGAATAATCTGTGGCAAGTTATTGCCTTCATCCAAACATTTCCCCCAATCACCTTAAAACACACATAAGATGTGAACAAGCAAGGAAAAATTGAAGTTGTGTAAAGAAAATGCAAGAAATCACAATTCCAGGAAGAAAAGTTTGGAAAAAATGAGAAATTGGGAGGGTCTGCTCATGTGCAGTTGCTCAAAGTGATAGCACAAAGCCATTCCAGCACAGAGGACCATGGGGAAGCCTTGGGTCCTACTGAGAGGCCACGAATTTTGACCTTTCGAGGCATATGTGGCATGAGTAAATAAATAGGAAGACAGACTTACAATTGCAACATGAATTTCATTGTTTGCTAAGTGTGATGGCTCGCAGGTGATGTAGATGGAGTACTGAACAGAAACATTCTTCAAAATACTCAGATTCCTCAGCTCATTACAAATATGCTCAGTAGTAAGACCCTACAGGAAATACAAAAACACACAAAGCCGTATGCTTAGACGGGAAGATTTAGCAAGAATATGAATCATCCGTATTTTTCCCATTACCAATTGTATCTGGCTGCAATTACCCAAGACACTGTGTCTGTACCATTATAACAGAAGCGGCAATATCCGTATTTGCCCTTCAGCAGGGAGGCTTGTTCCTCTGTAGCCAACCACCAAGTAAAACAGGTGCATACTCAACAGGGAGCTGAAACTCATCGCAGCTCCCTAATGATATGTGTTCGCAATTATATTAATAGTACAATGGTGCCTTGCATAGCGATGATAATCGGTGCAGCAAAAATCACTGCAAAGCGATTTCGTTGCTATGTGATATTAAAAAGCCCATAGGAATGCACTGAAACCCCTTCAATGCGTTCCTATGGGCTGCAGACTCACTTTTAAGCGAAAAATCCTCCATACGGTGGCCATTTTCACTGCCCGGTAAGTGAGGAATCCATCCCAGAAAACAGTGAGCAGCCATTTTTTTTACCCGGTGGCCATTTTGGAACCATCGATCAGCTGTTAAAAAATCATCGCTTTGCGATGATCGGTAAGCGAAACAGGGTACTGATCATCGCAAAGCTATTTTTCCCCATAGGGAACATCGCAAAGCGATCACAAAAAGTTAATCGCCATGCGATTTCATCGTTAAACGGGGCGCCCATTAAGCGAGGCACCACTGTATTCAGTCTTCTGTTTTTAGGTGGCTATTACAAAAATGTGTGAAGTGGCCCAGAGGCAGTCAGATGAAACTTTGGTCAAGGGAAAGCTGAAAGGTATACACCTTAGCTTGGTCAAGAAGTTTCTTGGAGAAGTCTTGTCTCTTTGCCTAACCCTCCTACATCAAAGAACTGGTGGAAAGAAACAGTGAGGCAGTCATTCATGTGTGCCACCCCAGGTGAGGTACACATCAAGAGATCCATGGTTTAGCAAACTCTTCTGGACCACTGACACACGGTTATGTTGGTAAGGGGAGTCTAGAAGTTCCTAATAAAGATTAATTTGCAGCCATCTGGAGTTCTTTAGTTCCTTCTCATAAATGGCGGAGAAGACTTACTTACCGGAGTCATCATTTCTTTGTTAAAGGTGAAAGTGATGTTAGCACAATTGTCCTGATAGTAAGATTCAGAATTGCATGTTGTTTTCACTGGCTGTTGATTTGAAGGCCAACATTCACCTATGTTGTCACAGGGCCGGACAAAGCAATGGTCATCTCTAATAGGATGGCAGGTGTTTCCTGCAGGACATTCGCCGTGACCTTTTGCGTTGATCTGGCAAGGCTTTGGACCACACCAGACCTAGAAGATATTGAACACTTAGTTGACAACTAATACTTGAATAGAAAAGGAGGGAGAATGAGGTGAAAAGAAAGTTGTGGGACCAGTACCTTAGAACAAGTCACTTTTCCATTCATACATTGACAGCTATTACATTCATCATCCCACTTTGATCCATCTGGAATAATATGTCCACTGGCGACACAGGGCCTTCCTGAAACTAAGAGACAAAGGAGTTAAGAGGGGATCTATCCAGATTTGCACAACTCAAGAAGATCTGATCGGAGCTTATGGTGTGTCTGGGTTGAGCAATATATGAGCCTGTGGACGTTGCTGGACTGTAGCTCCCTGGGTTCCATGATGCTGACTATGCCAGCCTAGGATGATGGGAGGTGCAGGCTAACAGCATGAAGAGGATCGCATATTACTCACCATTGCTCTATGCCAAATACGGGGAGAGGGGGAAAGGACGCCTAAGACACATGTCCAATATGCCTTTAATCCCCTCCTTGTTGCAGAGAGGCCCATACAAGGCAGAGACATGAGGGGGGTGATGTTCTGGGGGGGCTTCTACCAGCACTGCTGACTCATCAGCTCCATGTAGGGCTTCTTCAAGGGCAACTCCCATAATATGACATCCAGAATTCCCCAGCCAGCCTGGCTATTGACAAGGGGTTCTGGGAGATTTAGGGCCACCCACCCCCCAATTTCACTTTTCAGAGCTCTGGCCTCCATACTTATTAGAAAGGCAGGAGAGCAGGCATTTTTATCCTGAGGCACCAGTACAAGGTTAGCAGATACACATTTTTGCAACTCGTGATGCAATACAATTTTGATTTCTGAGGAGTACCTTCTTGACATCTGGGACCACTGCGACCACTTGGACAGATACAACGGTATCCATTGATCTCATCTATACAGGTAGCTCCAAATGCACACGGTGAAGACTGACATTCATTGATATCTGGAGAGAGGGTGGGAAGAGAACAGGAAGATTGGGGGGGGGGACACACACACACAGAGATACACCATTATTAATGGTAATAGAGTTTTATCCCAAGCAGAGGTATAAAGCTGAAAATCTTCCTCAAACTATAAAAGGTAAAGAAAAGCAGGTTCTGAGACCGCATCCCTTAAATTCAAGGCTATTAGGAACACAGGACGTTTCCTTATGTGTCAGACCTAGAGCTTAGAAGTCAATTATTTGGTGGGGGAACTACAACTCCCATAATCCCCTAGTTGGTAAAGCAAATGGTTATGTTGATAAGGAGACTCTAGGCATCTTATGCCAAAAATTAAGGTTCTCAAACTCTGCTCAGGCCCTCTCTGCAGCTTCTTATATGGGATATTGGACCGAGAGACTGGAGAGTGACTCTGATACCTTCTTTATATTGAACATTTTCTCTGTCACTCAAGAGTCTCAGACCTTCCTTTTAACACAGACTTCTTATACAGCACTCATCTCCAGCCATTATGTGTAGGGACACATTCTCTCTCTCCCTCTCTCTAGAAGTAGCGTAAATGTCCTCTGGTCTGTAATTTAATAGTAATAACAAGGAAGAAGGTACAGCCACCTCAAGATCTCAAGCCGAAAATAATGCTCATCCAAAAATGTTTCTTTCTCTGTCACAAGGACAACTCATCCTCCAGTGAAAGAGGCACTGAAATGGAATATCTCAAAACCCCTTGAAATGGCTACTCCTGAGAAAGCTAAAGCTCTTGAAATCAATGGGATGCGAAAGGCTAACATGCAACAAAGCAGAGAGCGGTCAAAAAGAGCTTCTTTACAGTGCCTGGTTAGATATGGATTTCACAACAACATGAGATAAAAACTGATGGAACTGACACAAACAGCTTCAAAGGCAGACTAGACAAATTGATGGAGAAGAATGCCAGGGCTAGTCAGAATAGCCAGACTCCTAAGGATGATGTAAGTCATTCTGCTGCTATGACTACATGATTTCCTACAAACAAGAACAAATTACCTGCAGGATTCTGGCCGCAGACTATGCATTACTTCCAGAATCAGAGGGAGGACACATCTCAATAACTTTGGCTGGAGAACACACACATAACCAAACTCATGTCCTGCTGGAGGACCTTGGATGGGCAACTGGTTGGCCACTGAGTGAACAGAACACTGGACCAGTCTAGCTTTCCATCTGACTCAAGCAGAACTCTTTGTACACACTTGTAACTAACCTAACCCTTCTGATTCCAGAGAAACTTAAGAGTGACTAATTTTCTCTGTGCCTGAGGCAGAGATTTCCAAGTGAAACAACTTTGATTTAAGCCAGCCTCGCTAATGAGGTGACACAAGAGTTATACAAATATTTTTAAACATATATTGCATTCATTTCCCATCCAATGTAACATGAAGCCAGAAGTGAAGAATTAATTAGAAACACGTACTTATCCTGCAGTCCGGACCTGCAAAACCTGGTGCACACTCACAACGGTACCAATTGTCCCCATCTACACACAGTCCACTATTGTAGCTGTTTGGGGTAGAAAGGTGGAGAAAAGAAAGGGGAAGAAATAAAGCAAAAGTTAATCATCGTCATCTCTTACTGCCACAGAATGCACAAATCTGAAGCACAGAAATGCAATTCTAAAACAACAACATGAGCTAGTTCCTGCTTTAGTTACAGTGGGGTCTTGACTTGAGAACTTAATCCGTATTGGAAGGCGGTTCTCAAGTCAAAATGTTCTCAAGTCAAATCTGCATTTCCCATAGGAATGCATTGAAAACCATTTGATCCGTATCTGCTCTTTTCCGTCCATAGAAACTAATGGGAAGCTGCAGTTCCTGCTTTAGTTACTTTAACAGGAAGACATACCCATATATTATAGATTCCATGACAGGCATTAAACATCAAAACTATTTTGAGATACTGCCTAGCAAAGTTAAATCGAAGACTGAGCAGCTGTCAATTAAGTAATTTCTTAGGACTTAAAGGTAAACTGAAAGGTAAATAGGAGGGAAGTTTGAGGCAGCTGGAGAAGAGACACTCAGGTTTACAGTCAAAGAATCGGAGAGCAAGAAGAATCTGATGCCTTGCCCTTTTATCTAACCAACCCACCCTCCCCACCCTGAGTGAGAAAAGTAAAACAAATGCCACTTAAAGATTCCACCAAACAAAAGTACCCTTCCAAGAAACAATGTCCGAGGCGCAAGCAAAATAAAAGTCTAATCTGCTCCCAGATGCTGGTGCTTACCAAGGGTGGGGGCTGCAATCATTTGTATCTGCAAAAAAAATCAAAGAAATGCAAAATTAGGAAAGCTTCTTGACCATAAAATAGCAGAGCCCGTTATCGGAAAGGGTGGCTGGCTCTCATGTTGAGTTTCCTGCATTGAGCTAGACGACCTACAAGGTTAGACTGGATGACCTATGGACCCTCTCTATGCCCCTTAACGATTACGCTGAGTACCAAAAATGAATAGCAAACAGCCTCTCACACAGATGAAAGCTATACTGATCAGCACAAGCTGGGCACAGAGGATACCTGAACCTGCTGGCACATCTATCTCTGGGTAGATCCACAATGATTTCTGAATCTGCTCTTCAGTAATAACAAAAACAAACAGGATTCCATCAGGACTATCTTAAACTACACTGCTGAAATAGAGCAGGTTTGTGGCAACCAGATACGTTTGTGTAGACAGACTTTGGCTCAGTTTTAGACTTCCCAATTAATTCCTGGGCTCAGACTCCTTTAAGTGTACGCACTAGGCTCTGACTGGTGGATCTCTAATTTATAGTTGAAAAAACCCAAAGTGGATCTTGCAAGCTTGAAGTCTGCCTGCTGCAAGCTTCACGTGCAGGGGTCAGAAGAATGAGGAGGATTTCTCTAGAGAATCCTCAACAGAAGGAAAAGTGGACGAGATTCCAAACTGGGTGACAGCTGCCAGCAAAAGGAGGGAGGAAACCCAAGGGTGGGAGGGAGGTTGGAGTGTGAACAAAATGACATCTGTCTCCACTTATCCCATTTGGAACTTTCTCATGCACAGGTCAGAGCTCCATCCTACAATGTCATTAAAGCCCAATGATTCAGGTGATGCTCATGCCCCACATCAAACAGCTTTCCCCTTCTGGTTTCAATCTCAAATCCCGGAGGGCAACTAGATGAGCCAGTTTTCTCACCAACCACCCCTCCACAAGTGTTTGGGTAGGAGAGAGAGACAGAGAACTTACTCTGAGTGCATATTGGTCCTTCCCAGCCCTCTTTGCAGACACATGTAAAAGAATCACCGCTCACTACACACGTCCCTCCGTTATGACAGGGGTTTGGTAGGCAGCTGCTGTTTCTCGCTGTAACAGGAAGGGGGGAAAAGATTTGCTGCTAAGTTTTCAAAAATGCTTTGCTGGAAATCTGATGGTCTGAGACGGCACACACATGGCAACTTACCTATATTGCAAGTGGCACCTTCCCACCCGGCAGGACACATGCACTTGAAGGCATCTCCCTCATCGTAACAGGTCCCTCCGTTGTTGCATGTGGCTTCATCACACTGGCTGTCCCCTGGAGGTGCAAATGAGACGAATCAGAAGTGGGATGGGTGGCAGGTGAGCCCGGCCCCATTTTGTTTGCCTCCACATAGGTTTAGGACCTGCAAAGTCTCCTAGTGGGTTATCCAGGAAAAGCTCCATCACTTTTCCCACGAGATACTACATTTTTGGTCCAACTTCTCGGCTTTTAATACAGTGGTGCCTCGCAAGACGATTGCCTCGCGGGACGATTAATCCGCAAGATGATTGTTTTTTGTGATCGCTGTTACGCTTCTATGGATGATTTTCGCAACATGACGATTTTTCCCCATTGGAACGCATTATATGGACGATTTTCACAAGATAACGATTTTTCCCCATTGGAACGTATTAAACAGATTTCAATGCATTCCAATAGGGAACTGTGTTCCGCAAGTCGATGTTTTCTATGGACGATTTCCACAAGACGACAATTTTTCCCCATTGGAATACATTAAATAGATTTCAATGCATTCCAATGGGGAACCGTGTTCCGCAAGATGTTTTCGCAAGATAGTGTTTTTCGCTGAACAAATCAACATCGTCTTGCGAGGTACCACTGTACTAACAAACAGATACCTGCTATACCATGTGCATAGGAGCACTGTCCACTCCCAGGAGTTGCAGCTATTGCAGATATGATTCAAGGTGCTGAGGTGGGCACTGCAGTGTTGTGGTCTGGATGTTCCCTCCACCCCCAAGTGTCTCTACCTCTGAACCCCTGGTCCGCAAAATGACAGGCCCACTTGAAGAGATTCATGTCAATCAGAGAGAGAAAGAGAGCCAAATAAAGAAGAACTTCTACCCTTTTGCCTGTAAATCAGCCAGATCTGGGATCTCATCTGATGAACATTCCAAGGGGAAGAGAGAGCAAATGTCTTTCTTCAGAAAACTGCTGAGCGTTCTGAGCTCGTCCAAGGCTGTACACTGAATGTGTTACTTCTAAATGCTGGGCGGGCACCAACTTGGGGACACAGGCTCATCTCAACTACTCACGCGAGTGGCAGGTTTTCCCTTTCCATCCATTTTTGCATTCACAGAAGAAATCGTTGACCAGGTCACGACACGTCCCTCCGTTGTGGCAAAGGTTTTTACTGCAGTCATTTATATCTGGAAGAAACAGGAGTGCTCAAAATGAGAGGAGCTGTTTGCAGAAACAATGAATTTCTGAGATTTGCTTTCTCCCCAGGCACATTCTCTTCCTCTTCCTGGCCTCTAGTCCCAGACCTGGATTAAGTCCCTGAAGACCTTAATGCCACCACTGACGTGATCGTGTTTATTCTGCGCGATACCCCACGGTTCTCTTTCAGCTCTTTTTGCCAAGGAACACCACTCCAGCTTCCTTGGAACAAATATACCAGTTAGGCTGAAGGCAAAGGAAGCCTTATTACATAATTACAGCCTTTCCAGGCCAAAGGCAAGCTCTTCAAACCCTCCTCCGCTTTTTGTTAAAGGCACAAACGTTCCGACCCTTCAGGAACTGCAAACTCGGCATCCCAATCGGAGCAATATTCAGAACTAACCTGAGGACAATACCGTATTCACCTTCCCCGAGTTCAATCTGTCTACTGAGTCAACTCCCTACACTGTATATCATATCAAAATGCACTTCTTCCATTTGATGCTCCTGAGAAAGGAATAAACCTTGAATTTTAATAGTTAAACATTTGTTCTTTGGCTATTGTTACTTCCTATCCTACAGCAGATCTGGCACAAAGATTCAAGCAGCCAGATCAAAGAGGAAGAAAATGGGCCAAATTGCCTTAAGATCATGGCAACCCAAGATGTTCTGCTTCTTGTGTGGCAAGCGCTGACTGGCAACTGATAAAACTCAGGGTCGCATCTAGCAGATGGTCTCCTTCCACCTACAGAAGAATCTTTCCTGCTCTCAGAGGGCCTGATTCACGTCTCTCACTAATGTACTTTTATTAGAAAAGTTACTGAGCATGTGCAGTTTTCTGGAGGCCTCCGAAAGCCACACAAAGGAATCTGGAACGTGGAGAAATGCCGTGTCCCGAGATTCCTGCTGCCTGGATTCCAAGATGACTTTTTTCACTTAGCCTAGTAACAAATAGGAAGGAGGCGTCTTCTAAAACCTGAGCTTAGACTAAATAGGTATTTTGATTTCAGTCAAAGTCTGGCATGTGAAATTTCAAGTCAGAGTGAAGGAGGAGGAGCCCTCCCACCCCCCTTTTTTAGTTCACACAGCATACGAGTGTGACACTCAACTAGCTTCTTATGTTCCACAGTGAGTAAAGATCAGCCAGCTGTTCTTCTGCCTCCTGGACCACGCCGAGGTTCAAAATGCTAGCTAAATGTGAAAGAGGCAGCCTCTTCTTTATGGAGAATGTCCATCAAAGGACTAGGTCCAGCCTCAGCCTCCCCGTCCCCGGTGACGAAGAGCAAGAGCTCTTTAGAACAATAGGACCCAATCCCTCCTTGTCAGAAGGGAGTCCCACAGCTTTCTCCTTTAGGTGGAGAGAAGGAGGACGTGCTTACTCGCTTCACAGAAGGTGCCCTCCCATCCGTCGCTACAAATGCATTTGTAGGAGTTGATGCCATCAATGCACGTGCCACCGTTCTTGCATGGGTTGCTCTCACAGTCGTTGATGTCTGCAATGAATTTTTAAAAAAACACGACACTGGTAAATGAAAGGTGCGATTAAGACATGCCACTTCATGGACTGATGTTATTTTACTTATGACTTGGAGCAGGGGAACTTGCACCCAGGAACCTAGCCGCCTAGAGTGGTCTATCGACTAAATAAAATAAATAATAAATATTGCCCTTTCTAGCCTCCTATGGCTACTTCTGATTGGCAACGGTTTCCCATGGGGCTAAGCATAGGCTGCTTCCAGAGCTTGGAGAAAGTAAGTTTTTTGGGCTAACTAGCAGGCTAACCGGGGGGGGGGGGGGGGGAGAAAGAGATTCTTGGAGTTGTCATCCCAAAATGTAACGTTTGTCGTGCTTTGTTTCTCCCCAGCCCTACAACACACAACCTTTAAACTAACAACATTAAGGACTGGACCTGGTTTATTCTGTATCCATTACCTGCAAGCTTTCTGCCACAATGCTTAGCCTTTTCCTAAATGATGTAAAGGGGCGGAGTGGGTGGGTGGGGGGACCTAAGGTAATAAAAACCAGCTTCCTCTTTAATATCTGCATATATTTTAAACATTTTTAAAGGCAGATCGTAAACCTACAGTATGCTGTTGCTATAGGTTATCCCAAGGCCTTTTGTACATAACACCATGTAAAAGTTACCATTTATAAAAGGTCAATATATCCAGGGCCAGGAGCCTCTGAACATGAACTCCCCTCAAGGCCAAGGGGAGGCTAGTCCCAATCCACCAAAGGAGGAAGGAAAGTGCTCAGAGGAGAATGCAAAAGGCTCTCAGAGAGGCATGACTCTCGGCTCCCAAGGACAAGCAGGCCATTCTTTCCAAAATATTTACACAGAGTGCTATAAACTCAGGCTTAAATGAAATGGAGAAGAGGGTGGGATGGAGAAAAACCTCAAACCTTACTTTCATGACAGTAGGTGCCGGTAAAGCCTTTGTTGCATTCACAAGTAAACTTGCCCCCAGCTTGACTCTTGCACTTTCCGTGGGGGCCGCAAACATTGGAAGAGATGTAGCGGACCCCTTCCGGGGTGCTGTTGGAAGCCACCGCGACCGTACAGCTGTCAATGACTGGAAAAAGAAGGAGACGTGCATGCAGGGTGAGCCCTTGCTGCTCTCTTTGAGATACCAAGCCTCTTAAGATAGGGTCTTCCCATCCCTCTGTGAGTGGGTGCTCTCCTTTTCTGCTGTGGGGCAGCCTAAGCACCCACAGCCTTCAGCAGAAGAAGGGGCTTGTGCTCAGGTAACACAATACGCCCCGACTACAACTGTGCTGAAGATCAGGGGTGAGCAAAGTGCAGCCCACCAGATTTGGGGCAGGCACCTCCCAGCGGTTCTCACTGCTGACTACGCTGGCCAAGGCTGATGGGAATCGCAGTCCCATGATAGCTGGAGAGTTGCCCTGTGCTCAACCACATGGCAGTGCCACGCTGAACCCCACCTGTAGCTTTCGATCCCTTTGCATGCCTTGATGCCCTTGCCCTTAACCCAAAGCTGAAAACCAGGAGTGTCAACAAAGAGTTTTACTTTCTCTCTTACAGAGACAGGATATACTAAGCCTGACTCACTCCCTATTCAGCTCTATAGTTGTTGCATGGACTGGTGGCAGCCAGCCCTCACCAGAGATGATAGGTATTGAACCCAGAACCATCTGCCTGCAAAGCACAGGCATTCCCCACCTCACAGAATTATGGAGTAGGAAGGGGGCTTATAAAACCATCGAGCCCAATCTCCTGCTCAGTGCAAAAATCTAAATCAAAGTAGATCTGACAGATGGTTGTCCAATTTTCTCTTGAATGTCTCCAGCGTTGGAGCATTCACCACCTCCTGAGGTAATTACTTCCATTGTCATATTGCTCTAATAGGAAAATGTTCTTGATATTCAATTGAAATCTGGCTTCCTGCAATTTAAGCCCATTATTACATGTCTTGCACTCAGGGCAGACTGAGAACAGATCCTGCCCCTCCTCTGTATGACAACCTTTCCAGTATTTGAAAAGGTGCTGTCAAATCTCCCCTCAGTTTTCTTTCCTCAAGGCTACAAATGCCCAGTTCTTTCAGTCTTCGTAGGGCTTCATTAGCCCTTGGTCATCCTTCTTGCCCTCCTCTGAACTTGTTCCAGTTTGTCTGCCTCTTTCTTAAAGTGTGGTGTCCAAAACTGGACATATTACTCAAGACGATGCCTAAATAGTGCAGAACAGAGGGGTACCAGTGTACTTCATAGGATTTGGAGACTGTACTTCTGTTAATGCAGCCTAAAATAGCATAGGCCTGTTTTGCAGCAACAGTTCCAAGATCCGTCTTGCTCACAGACCAAGTATCCCCCACCTTGTCACAGTGTGTTTGCTTTTTTTAACTTCCTGTGTGTAGAATTTTGCACTCATACATGTCCATTTCATTCTCTTGTTGGCAGCCCAGGGCTCAGGCCCATCTAGGTCCTTTTGATTTTTGTTTCTGTCTTTCATGATACTATCTCACTTGATGTTGTGTCATCTGCAAATCATTCCTTGCACCCCATCATCCAAGTTATCAATAAAAACACTGAAGATGCTGAGTCCAGGACTGAGCCTTGTGGCACCCCCCCCCCTTGTTACCTGATCCCTCTTTGAAAAGGAGCCATTGATAAGCACTCCCTGAGTATAATTCTGTATCCAGTTGTGTACTGACCCTGACTGTTGTTCTACCCAGCCCATAGCTAGTTAGCTTGCTAATCAGAATATCATGAGTCACTTTGTCAAAGGCTGCAGCGCGATGAAACTCTCCTGCAAAACGATGCAGCCCCACTGCAAGCCTACCTTCACAAGGAGTAGAACGGCAGTGATCCTTGAGGTGCGAACAATTCTTCCCTTCATAATCTTCTGGACAGTTGCTACAGAAATAATCGTTCTCGTAATTGAAGCATTGGGCTCCGTTCTGGCAGGGGTTGGGCTCACAATAATCTATGTCCAACTAGAAGATAGGGAGGAAAGAGAAGGGCAGGAGAGAGAGTTAGCCTGCGACAAAGGCTTTATTATTCCTGCTCCTGCAGCCGAAGGCAGGAAGCCTCAATGGATGGAATCTGACTTTTCTATCTGCTGCCTCGATTACTTGTGTACAACATAAACAATGCAACACTCGCCAGCCTTGCTAATACGGAAAGGCTATCAAGGAGCATGTGGAGCTTCAACTGGAAGCTCCAAGCAAGCAAACTCTTCACAAGTCACAGATTTCTCCCCATCCACCACCCCTACTGCTGCTTCCAAATGCAGGTATTAAGTATAGAAGCCCCCAAACCATGCGGCTGGTGGGGCTTATCTAGAACCTGTGCTTCAGCCAGCCTCACCTGACAGATATTTCCTGAGAATCCAGCAGGGCAGAGACATTGGAATCCATTGATTTCATCTTGGCAATGACCCCCATTCAGACAAGGGTTGCTTGTGCATTCATTGATGTCTCTCTCACAGTGATCCCCTGCATAGCCAGGTGGGCAGACACAGCGATAACCATTAACCAAGTCCTGAAAGGGAAACGGGGAAGAGGCGAAGATAATGAGTCCATGCTGGCCTAAGGGAAACCTTCACCAGCTTCAAAGCTTTTTTAAAAGATGCATAGGATACTGGCTAAGAATGCTGATGGTCCAGGCAAAGATGGCTGCATTCAAAGACCCAATCAGGGCCAAACTTATTTACTTGCACACCTGTCCCATTCACATGTGCAGTAAGGGGATGGTTTTGAGACATGCACCAGAAGGGGCATAAAGGTGGAAAAAGCTAGAGCTCTCTTTCCTTCTCACTCTTACCAGCCCCATACCACCTGGCTCTGCGTATTTTTCCTTCCACTTCCAGTGCCAGGCCTGCATGGGGATGACATGCGTCCAGTACTGGACAAACACAGATGGGTGAACCACTTTCTTGATACAGACTCACCCCTTCCCCCATATACACGCACACCACCACACATACACTCTGTGTGCAAACCCATGTCATTGTCTTCAGGGCACCAAATAAGAACATGTATCTTTTCCAAACGTGTTTAGGGTTTTAGCCATGTTAGGGCTCTTAAAGCAAAACAATAAAGCGTCTTGTGACACCTTGAAGATTACCATGTTTTGTTTGGCATAAGGTTTTCTGGGCTGTAGCCCATTTGCATCTGACGAATTTCATAGCTACAGTTCACAACATCTCATATACGCGTACAAGACTCATTCATCTTTGAAGGGTCACAATCATTCTCCTCTTTTCGAGCAGAAACAATGAGGGGCAGATGCTGGTGTGCAAATACGCACAAACATACACACATTTATGCAGATAATATTTTCAATTTCATTTTCTAAGGGGCAAAATCTTTTAGAAATCTTCCAAAGCCCCAGCATAGAAGATCACTCTGTCCTAGCTGGGCACTTAGAAGTATGCACTGAGCTGAGAGTGAAGTCATGATAATCATGTAGTCAAGTGTTGTGGGAATGGGAAGAGAGTAATTGTTCATTTTATCAAGTGATAAGGAAAAGAGGTAGCATGAGAGGTCAAGGGTGGGGGAAGGAGGAAAAGTAGTGGTGGACACAATCCAACAGAATAAGCTTCTGCAAAACGGCGGGGGAAGGGACAAGAAAAATGGAAGTCAGAAAACTGTTGAATACAGATTTGTATGGGATGTTTTGGGGTTTTGTCATAGAACAAAGAAAA